ATTAATTTTTTAATTTTAAATTTTAAATTAATTTAATATATATATATATATAATATTTTCATTATTATTTTAAAATTAGAGTAGAAATTTTTTACCTGAATGATTCATCACCAGCAAGACAATAAAGAAATTGTCGCCATTTCGGTATCCATACTTCTGTTTGTGTTTGTCTTTCCATTGTTGATGGCTTTGATGCAACAGATACAGTCATTGATCCTCTTTCGTAAGAAATCGATTCCTAAGTGAAAAATTATTTAAAAACATTCAATTTCAATTATAATTATATAAATTTTAATGAAATATATATATTGTATAAATAATATTTAAAATTTATTTTAAAATTAAAGATAAAAAATTTGATTACAAGTAAAACTTATAAATAATAAAAATTAAATATAAGAAACAAAGATCATAATATAATAAAGATCATAATAATAATAAATTTTTTTTTATCATATTTTCGAAATATATTAAATAATTCATTGATGCATTAAATTTGCCTTTTAATCTAATTTTTCTTTAATATTTAATAATAAGAATGCAAGATTATTTGGATTTCCGATTGTAATTCCGATTGGATTCCGATTGAAACTTTACATACTGATAGATATGATTTCTGAGATAATTTTAAGCAATATTTTTTTTTTTGCAAAATTTTTATTTTGGTTTTATAAAAACACTGGTTTTAATAAAAACACTATCAATGATTTTATTCATTTATAATTTTGATTGCCTCTGTGTTTTTATATTATTTTTTTCTCTATTAAAATTTGTAATTGCCATAAATATAATATTCATAAAAAGTAAAATCTTAAAATGTAAAATTTTTTAGTAATTCATAAAAATTTATAATTTTTAAGTTTTACTAAATATAATCTAAACAACAATAAAGTAAAAATTATTATTACTATCGAATTAATTACTAATACCGAATAATTTTGTACTCATGCATATTATATTTACATTAACACCATAAACATCACATATCAAAGAACTTCTTCTTCGAGATACATCTATTATCGTTTCTGGATGAACCGTTTGAGGACTGCACGATACAATACTACAAAACGCATCTTGATAATCAGTTTCACTCTCGTTTTCCCATTCTTCTTCCTCCAAAGGAATTTCTCCACTACCAACCTAAAAGGAAATATCTACTAGACTATAAGTGATAATTGATCTATAATAGAAAATAAGAGATAAAAATTTCATTAAAATTTTGCAAATTTTAATAAATAATTTTGAAATTTTATAACTGAAATATATAATTTTTTAATTGATGTTTAAAATTTTAAAAATAATAAAATTTTTTAAATTTTTTATCTCATATAATTTAGTTTTTTAATCATAAATAAATTAATATTGTTAAAATTGAAAATTATGAATATATATTATACCTTTGTAAAATAATGTACACCAGCAAATTCTAATAACGTAGCAATACAATATCCAAAACTCATTAATAAAAACCAATCGAGAGCAGTGGCATATCTAACTTTTGGTAAGTCTGTTCTAGAATCCAGACTAATGGTTGACAATGTCAAAACGGTAGTAATACCTGTAATATTTCATTGAATAATTACATTATGGAATCTAATAATATTTTAATTTTAAAACTAATTATATATTATATATATAGTATATTATATATGAATATATATATAATTATCAAATATCTTAATTTTTTTTTAATACGAAATTTATCTTTTTTATAATTATCAACAATTGTCTATGATATAAAATCTTATTTTTGAAATATTATAAACTTAAATAATTTTTAAAAATATAATTAGATCAATGAATTCGTCTCGAAATTATAATATGGATTACAATGCTTTAATAAATATAAATTTATTTAAAAAAGTAAACATTATCTTCAGATTTTAAAAAAAATCTCCAAAATAAATCTGATCATAATTTCTTTATAATAAGTTTATATTATATTCTATAAACAAGTTTTATACGAAACCTTTTTTTGAATAGTGCATAATTTAAAAGATAATATGCATATATATAAAGAGATAAATATAAAAGATATATACTTCATATATTTCTTATCCTAAATATTATAAATACTCTTGAATATTTTTTTGTTAAAATAGTTTTGAAAAATTAAATTTAAATTGTTTTATTGATTTTTGTATATACTTTTGTTTCATTTGATAAATAATTTACCTAGTCCAACTCGATCGCTGGTAGCCTCGCGATGAATCCAAAAGGATACCCAACTTAAAACTACTATTAGAACACAAGGTACGTAAACCTGATAAAATCATAGAAAAGATAATATTAAATTAGATAACAATTAAATAAGATTAAAAATAAACTGATTTACTTGAATGAGAAAATAGCCGGTATGTCGTTGCAAGTTGAAGGATACTTGAAGAACCGAAAATTCACCCTCTCGACGAACGAACGTTAAATTTCTATATGGTGAACCCATCAAGTCAAATTGTGAAAGAGCCATTCCAGGAACAAAATTAACCGAAGAGCCCTCCTGCCATTCATAAATTAATTGACTGGACGTATATGCATCTAAAAATAAAGAAAAGAAATATTTTGTGAAAATTTTTACAATTAAATATAATAGAGTAACTTTAATGATTACATACTGTAAAAGAGTAAATAAAATTTTATTATAAATAATCATTAATTATTATAAAAATAAATAATGATTGTATTTTCTTTAGCCATCATTATGGCTAGAAGAGTTAAGTTAATTTAATTTCAGGAAAATCAAATGAAAATATAAAATATATTTTACATTTATATTATATATTATTTTACATTTATAAAAAATAATTATTAATTAATGGTAATTAATGAGGATTATAAAAAGTA